TTTTGCCAGTTATCACAAGCCAAAAAATTCACAAGGATGGTCACTGCTAATGAAATAGAGTTGATTATTAAGGGAAAATGCAATTTATGTTGACATTTTGCACACTGGCTTGTGACACAAAAAAGTGGAGGTTTGATCATACCCACATCCAATTCAGAGCACAGGAGACCTTAAGATTGCCTCACTGAAAAAGGGACTTCTTCTTAAAACTTATGTTTTAATGGTTCAAGATTGTCTCAGACATCAATAATAAGTTCTGGGCTGAACACTGGCAGGAAGAATGGCAAGTGAAAAAGAAAAACATAAGCAAATAAAATGAGCATGGTGGGTATGCAAATTTACTAAGTGCTACTGAGAGCAACTTTGAAAATCAGGAATGAGTGAGGGATGCGTCTGAAATATAAAATAAGGTTTTTGACTGATAAATATTAGTCCGCAAAGATATTGAAGAGGTCATGTACTATTAGGTAATGTGTGTGTGTGTGTGTGTGTGTGTGTGTGTATGCGTGTGTGTAACTATGCATGTGCATGTAAAATAATAATCTTATTGCTTTGATAGTTATTGCACACAGCATTAAAAAAACATTTTAACAATGGAACCGTTTTTATCAACATACAAATATGAGCTAGCGCTTATAACACTGGGACACCACATGCTGACAGATGTTAGTAGAGAGTTCTCTATCTTTTTGCCATATGCATAATGAGGGAAGTGGATGAAAACAGGTACAGAACAGTGTTCCTAGATGAATGGCAGTGGCTTCTTGAGAAGAGTCGCTTCTTGGGTTTAGGACAAAGGACATCAACCTCTACACACTTTGAATCTCAGAAGTAAGTTCACATTTTACAAAAAGTTTTGAAAAATGCATAATCTGAGACATGAGCCTCAGCACATCATTTGATGGCTCTCAAGGTGTGAAGAGGAACATGGAATGCACCCATGACATGTGTTCAGGTCACACTAGGTTCTTAGAACAACCTGCTCTAGCTTCACTCTGGCCTACTCTGTCCCTCAGCTCCTCTTGAGCTAGATTCACCGGGGCCATCTTTCTCTATAAAGGCCCCGAAGGAAGATATTCACAAAGTCTTCCTCCATGAGAGTGATAATACTCCAAATCCCTCAAAGAACTGACTGTCCAATCCACAGGTACTCAGGTGTGGTTCAGGGTCCACACTGTCTGAGAACAGCAGGCTCAGACTTCTGAACAAAAACCCCTGTTCCATGATCTTAATAACATTGAAATGCCCGCCTCTTAACCTCACTACAGAAAGGTAAATATTCAAGCAGATGGGAAACAGGACAAGAGAGCAAGGCCCCTTTATCATTGTCACCTGAAAGGGAGGGCTGTCACTGAACACACAGACCAACATCATGGCAGCAGCTTTGAGAACTGAGGAACATCAAAGGGATCTTGAGGGCAACAGTCTCTCCCAGTTCCATCAGTGTGTGCCCTCTCTCCCTATAGAACCTGTGTCTGCACCTTCTCATGACAGCCCTATAAATACAGCCTGGCTCCTCACTCCCCACACACTGGGCTCCTGTTCACCCTTCTTCCAGGTGACTCTCAGCCATGAAGACACTTGTCCTCCTCTCTGCCCTTGTCTTGCTGGCCTTTCAGGCCCTGGCTGATCCTCTGCCAGAAGCAACTGAGGAGGCTAAAAATGAGGAGCAGCCAGGATCAGAGGACCAAGATGTTTCCATCATACTTGGAAACCCAGAAGGCTCTGTTCTTCAAGGTCAAGGTGAGTGGTGACGCTCAGTGTGATCGTGGGTTGGGTGTCTCCTGAGACAGGGTTGAAGAGGTGTCCTGGAATCCTGTGGAGAGCTGTGTGATTCAGGAAGAATCTTGATTGATCCTCTAAGATCTTTACTGTCTTATTAATAGAAGTCACACACAAAGCTAAAAAAGTGTAACAGATTTTCTTTCTTTTAATTTTTTTGTTCTAAAAATTTATCTGTGGAAGAATTTCAAAATATAGAACATACTGATCAGCTCTTTGTCTATCCAGTTGATAATTTTGTTATAGAAAGAAAAATCTTCTTTGCTTAAAAAAATAGATTTAGGGACCAAATGCCAGTGTTTGATCAGGACACCACAGAAAGGTGAAGGACCCGAAATGCCTCTCAAGTCAGTTATGTGATCAACCCTTGTTTAATGTATTATGTTTGTGTATGTGTTTGGAGTTGATCATTGTACTGGTTATGCTGTCACCAATAAAAAAACACCTCCTCTGTACCATATGTCATGTATCTTCATAGTATTGTACATTATTGCATACTGCTGGCTACCTTACTTTATGCCTGGTGTTCTCTGTTTCCTCAGCCTCAGCAGACCTGAAATGCAAATGTAGAAAAAGATCCTGCAGAGGTTCTGAACATGTCTCTGGGATATGCAAAATAGGTCCATTACGTGGGGTATTCTGCTGCCGCTGAAAACAGACAGAAGATTATCATGTTCTCTGGGATCTCATGATCTGTCATTACCCTTGAACCTAGCCTCAATTGTTTCCTTCTCCAATAAATTTTTTTGCACAACAGAACAAGAATCTGTTTTTATGTTTCCTTTGTGTTATTTGTGTGGTTCAGTCAGGACTTTTCTGAGATAAGGGACAGACTCTTCAAAGAATCCCTATACACAAACTCTTGGTTACACTTTAGTAGTCATTTCTAGGGTGAAGATTTGCTTAGATAGTAGGTCAAATCTCAGGATACACGTTCAACCATCACATACATTTGATTTGCCATATCCTCATTTTGCTATTTCTTTTTTGTTGTTTTTTCCAGAAACATTTTCTTTACACTTTCTTCTCTATTGCTTCCTGTATTGTGGGGTCAGGAGCCCTGTTCTAGGACTCTTAACCTTTAGAGGTGGTGGCTTGATGTGCATTGAAGATCAGATTGATGTGGAGTTTCTGTGTCCTCAAGACCAGTTTCATCCACAGCCTGCATTGCACACTGGGATTTCTGGTGATTCATTGGATTCTTCCAGTCTTTGGGGCTTCATAGAAGAAATGTCTGTAAAGTATACATATATGTTGTTTTGAAAACCAGTTTCTCTGAGTAGCCCTTGCTCCTGGAAATCACTTTTTAGATCAGGTTGACCACAATCTCACATATATACCCCTGCCTCTGCCTCCCAAGTGCTGGGATTAAAGGTATGTTTCACCACCACCCAGCTAGATAACTTTAAAAATGCATTTTCTCAGGTGTCAGGCAAAAGTCAGATTCCATTGAAAAGCTACTTGTATTTTTGTATTAGTAGTACTCAATTGTCATGGAAAGAATAACTTGCAGTTCTTTGAATACTCTTGTTATCACTCAGTTTGCATGTGATTAATATGTACTGTTAAGCTCTTCATAAATTTAGCAAATTACCATTGATTCCTAGATTTTTAAATATTTACTTATTGTTACTTTCACTGTTTCTGTTTCATGTCACAGCACCTGCTCAGTAAATTTCTGTGAAGATAAAATGACGTAGTGACAATTAATAGCTGAAAACATTTGTTATTAATTGTTATAATGATCATTGTTGCCCGAAACTTTTTCTCACACTCATTGTAGGGATCAGGAGAAAAGTGAGGGGCTGAACTAAAAGGGAAGTTGGAGTAAGCACAGACAAGATCATAGGATGGCCTGGTGTTTCCTAGATCTTATAAAACTATTAAAAGCTTATAATTTTCTCTGTCATTGATTTTATAGTTCACAAGGGCTTTGGAATACCCCACTGACTTTTGTAGTAGTAATACATTCTGTATTATTGACTTCCTGGCATAAACACATGCCTGCTACATCATGTCCTGACTTAAGGTCTTTCTCTCCGAACAATGTTTCATGAACTTGATCGTTCTGACATAAACATCATGTGTATTTGCCCAGCAAGTGCACAGGCAACAGCACTGGAGATGGCACTGATGAGTCAGAGACTGCAAAGTGACTTTGGTGACACAAAACAACTCTGTGGGCTACTCCATGTATCTCCTCTGCCCTTCTCAGCCACAATATTCTTTCCATCCTCAGCCAAAACATAAATCTTTAAAGAGTTCCAGAGTTGACCCTGGACTATTACACCTAATGCCTACCTGACCAATTGTGACCTCAGGATGCCAGGTTTTCCTCTGTGCTTCACAGCCATTCACACTGGTCTTCAGAGCAATAAAGAACCCCAAGATGACCATGGTTTTCAGTACTTGTTTCTTTCAACATTTCCTTATATACACAACATCAATATTTCTTTCTTGGCTTCTGATGTTTTTAATTCTAAATTTTCTTTTTCTGCAATGTATTCTGATTACAGTTTTCCCTCTAAGATCTGTGAGGAGATGCAACTTTATGCCTTCTCTTACTTTAGAAAACCAGCAGGCAAATATAACCAACCAGCTAACAAATAAACAAACAAGAATAATTTGAAGAAACAAAAAAGAAAAAGCATGAGACACTCATGTGCATGGAGTGAAACACACAAACACAAGCAAAACCCATGAAATTATCACAGTAAAAAAACTGTGGTGATATTTAGTTTACAAGCTAATAAAGTTTGCCTAAATATCAGAGTGCAAATTCAGCCACAGTAGTTAGTCATAGAGGCCAGGCTGTAAGAAAGTTCTCACATCTGGGAAAGAATAACAGCTCCTCTGTATATCATTTCCTACTAGCAGAGTTGATCAAGCTGGTTGCTCTGATGTAGCCAGCATAACAGACCCACCAGCTCAGAAGTGTCTTCTCTGATTTTCCACTGTTGTCTAGTAGAAATGGTTTAGTGTCTAATGAGGTCCATTTCTCAAGGTCCAACCCTGCAATGTTTTCTTAAAAGGTGTGTGTGTGGGGGGGGTGGTATTCCAGGATATTCAGGAACTTGTTCTGTATACTTGGGGCTTGCCTGACTCCTAGAGATCTACCTGCCTCTCCCTACAAATGCAGGGATTAAAGGCCTGTGACACCACCACCCATCTAAAAAACACTG